TTTCTTTGCCTTATTAAAGAAATCGAAATAAATCTATTCATTCATTATGTATTATGGAACACTACAAGCAAGTGATTACAAGTAATTATAGTGATTTTGCCTTAGGGTCATTTGAATGTTAGCCTTTAATGTTACAAGGTATAAATACCTTATGTTGGAAGAAACTACACATGCAATATGATTGTTCATAGCCAGCCAGACTATATAAATAGATATGTGTGATTACCCTAGTCATGTCAATCCCTTACAATCTAATAGACATGTAAGACAGCAAAAAATTGTTTAATTTCGCTTTGGATTTTTTTGTAATATAGTGTTTTGTGTCCGAAAGTCAATTTGTTCCATTATTCGGATTCAGACAAGTTGTTAATTTTGAATGAGTGAACGTTTGTTGCAGAAAAGTGACATAACATGTTTACTTTTTTAAGTTTTGACAGTCCACAGGAACAATAAAAAAATAAACGGCGTACAACTCCCCTCCCCCCAATTCATGCCAGACCATTTTTTTGTTTTTTTTGGCATGGGGTCCCCCCTAAAATTCCTAGCAGACCCTTGATCCAAGCAGCAACCTGACAGAGCAGGAAAGGGGAGTGGACAAGCGTGCCCCCCCCTCCTGCTCCATACCAGGCCACATGCCCTCAACATAGGGAGGGTACTTCACCAGGGATGGAGCCCACACTGTTGTTTTTTTATTTTAACTTTTAACAACACAAGTTATAGACAATTCAGATATGTTCAGATTCATTATGTCTTTCATTCTGAAATTCAGATGCATCAGCATGCCCGAATATGCCTGAAATGTGTCCATATTTCAATTTGGAACTAAACAAATCTTACATATCTACAATCAAATGGCTACATAGTTATACAAGTAGACACATATACTCTGTAGACAAATACATTCTGTAGACCAAGACAGGCAGAAGCCAGTTCACACATCTGCAATGAGACATTGCAGGTATACTGCAGTGTTCATTGTAGTGTGTTGCAGTAGGTAAACCCATTAATTTGAATGGACTGATTACCACAGCTAAATCACACACTTTTTTTTTCAATCGTACCACAATGGGTGGCAATAGGTCACAATGCGTTGTGGTGTGATGCAATGCATAACAATAATGCCGTGCTAACATCTCATGCATTGCAGAATGAGATGAAAATTGTGAATGAGAACTAAATCTAGTTGTTGTTTTCAGGAATGTGGAAGGAAATAAACATCAGGAAAACATATAAACTCCCATCAGGTTTTTTAAGGGCCGGTTCACACCAACTACATGTTGTTTTTACCAGTGCAGCCTGAATGCAAGATGAGGCAATATGCATCGTCTTGGGTGGGCTCAGTTCACACCGGTGGTTTGCACTTAAAAAAAGTTCAGCATGAAGTACTTTTTTTAGCACATCACATTGAGACGCAGTACAACTGCATCACCCCATGAAATGTCACTTGTGACATAAATTTCTACAACCATGCAGTTGAGTGCAGCTGCTGTTGTAAAGTACCCTCAAAATCCAAATTCCTCAACCATAACGGTGCAATCATCAGTGCTAAAAGGAGCTGTGGATTGGTAATTAGAAAAAAATATCAGATGCAGATCATTTTTTTAATAAAGGGGCAATGTGAAAATATTATTAGCCCAGTCCAGAGGGAAATGTACCCTATGCTGTGACTACCATTTTAGATGAAAATTGCATTTCTATAGTGAGGAAATTACCTTACTATGATATATCTCATTAATAGCATTGCGGTTTGTGGGAGACCTACTGTACCTGTCAAACCATTATGTTGGGTAAAATTGCCATATCATATATATATGTCTACAGATTCATAAGGCCAAGAACCCATTAGAGCTGTAGCAATAGATAAGCATTTAACACCATATGTTCTATTTAGGGCCACCGCTTCTGTTCAGGTTTTTCCATTCCACTTTAGATGTCATTATGTTGTGAGGTCTATGAAAAAAGCTGAAAGGAACATAGTGCTCATTCATTAACTTTAGATGTCAGTAGGTGGTGAGATCTATAAAAAGATGTCAGTATGTGGTGAGGTCTATGAAAAAAGCTGAAAGGAACATAGTGCTCATTCATACCCAGGTACTGTAGCTACGTTTCTTTGTTTGAGCTTGTATAAGTGAGCTTTGCAATGCTTCATAATGCTTAAGTGAACAGGACACACTCAGGGGTCTATTCACTAAGCTGCCGAGGGCAGCCGAGTGAATGACCGATCTGAAGTGAAGTGAGCCGAACACTGTTCGGCTATTCACTTCAGGCTGGTACGGCTAATTTCAGCCGTACATCGGCTGAAATCAGCCGTACATCGGCTTGCTTCGTGTGGCTTCGGGTCGGCCGAACATGCTCAGCATGTTCGGCCGACCCCAAGTGCAGAAGGAGTTCGACTCAGCCGATCCAACATCCCTCTGAGGGCGGGTCCCTCAGAGGGACCGAGCAGAACAGAAAAAGAGTGAAAAAAAGTAAATAGAAAACGATTGTGCGGAGCTAGCAGTGACAGCTTGCTCCGCCCAATAGTTTCCTATAGTGTTTCTCTCATTGGCGGCCGGGAGCAGGAGACTCCCGCACCGCCAGGGAGAGTTAGCTGTTTGGAGATCAGTGTCCCTGGTTAGCAGGTAACCAGGGACGCTGATCTCTCTGAAAGTGGCCGGAGCCAGCCGTAAGATCACGGCTGGCTCCGCCCAGCTGTCAGAAGCAGGCTGATCCGCTCGGCCATGATCGGGAGCTGTACGGGCTATTGTGAATAGCCCGTACAGCACCCCTTCGGTTCTAATGAACCAAAGGGGTCCTGGGGCCGAAGCTGGCCAAAGCTAGCCGAAGGATCGGCCGAAGCTATGGCCAGATCCTTCGGCAGCTTCGTGAATAGACCCCTCAGACTAGCTACAGCAACAGTACAAGTACACATACACTTTGACTATCTGCGTGAGTGTTAGAAATATTGAGGCCATTAAATAATAAAAAATGAACTCCAGGAAAATTTAATAACGACCCTTGTTGTGGGGTAACCCCCACAATGCAAGGTATAAAAGCTTGTTTTTGTCTTGGGTTGCATTAAAAATCAATTTAATTTACCTTACCGAATCCCTTGCTCCCCCAGGCTTTCTTCTCTTTGCTCCATCCATTGCACTCTGACGTTGTCACTTGCGATGCAGGACCAGCAGTCCTCCATTGTAAATGAGGATGCTGAGGGCCCGTCCACAACTCAGGATATCGTAGGAAAGAGGAGAGTGCTGGCTGCTGGGGTAGCGAGGGATAAGGCAAATAAGACGGCTTTTTAATGTTCCCCTACACAAAATCAAGCATCTAACCCATTAGATTACCCCTTCACCACCTCTCTCTGTATAATGTATGCATCAATGATACACGGTATCTTAACCAATCTTTGGGAACAGTGTTTCATGACTTGATGTACACAATGGGTTAAGAATCTTTGCTTTAGAAGCTATCCTGTTGGAACAATGATTATTGTTATATGATATGAACACTGCACAGTTTTTACAATCAATTGTGTAGTTGGATGTCTTTTTAGAATTTCTTAGGATGCTTTAAGAAAGTAAAAGCACAGTAGGGGACAGCAAACGGAAAAAAAAAAATCAGCAATATTGAAATGTACAGCCTGCAGAAGTTTTGTTTTATATTGATTCATTTTCTGGATCTCTGTCCCCAAACTGTTTTTCTAAAAACAAAAAAATATTATTGAATCAACAGCTATATAAAAATGGTGCATCAGCAATTTGTGTTTCATCTGCACACATCTTCGAATATTAGACAACAAGATGAATTTGGGAACATGGCGCTTAAATATTTATGAGAAAGATAAGTTAATTAAAAAAATATACCAAAGCAAATTACTGAGAAAGGAGAGAATAGATTGTAATGGATAGAAGAAAACTGTGGACACTGTTCCCAAAAGACAACCATAAGTTCACAGAAACTATTTTGTTGCTTTAAGACAGTGTGGAAAAAGCCATATGCACGTCAGTTAATTTAAACATTTGCAAACAAGTAGTTTGTGTGGCTTATGTGAGTAAGACTTAAAAAAAGACCTACAATTTCAATACCATGTCCTTCTACTTGACTTGAAGCAAATGCCACCTCTGGGTAATCAAATGTATTTTGAATGTAAGCGGTACAATGGGCTTTCTCCCCAACTGAAGAAAACTGACAAGTCCCCTTGTCTAGGACAATACCTGTCACTACTCTGATCCAGAATGGGTTTTACTTTTTTTAATGAAGTTGGAAAACCTAATATTTTAAATTTGTAATGTTCCACAGTGTTGCAATTATAGTAAGGAAACTTTCCACAATTCAAAGAACCCTGTCATGAAAGAAATCCAGAGCTTTCATTGCTTTTCTCTTTCTACAATGTTAGTTAGCTACCTGTAATACTGATAGCATGGTTTCAATACTTTGAGTGACTAAACTGGAAAAAAAAAACTGTAAATTGTAAAGTAATGGAACACCTCCCCCATGTGCTTTAGAAGATTAGAATTAGATTAGAAGAAGGGGAGGTGTTCTATATCCTAGGTAGGGTTGACCACATTGATTTTAGGGCAGCAGTGTTGTCAGCTCAAACAGGAAGTTATGAGCACATTCGTTTTCTGGCAGGTATACAGGTATTTTTCTCTGCTTGCATTGTTTTTAAAAGGTACAACATGGGCAAATGTGATTGCATTGCAGACGTGTACTGAATATGTTTTTATTTTTCACTAACACCCACTTTAAATGGCATATTTTATTAAAAATAGTTTGGATTTGAAGTCACTTTGTTTTTTAGTGAATCAAAAAGTATTGAAGACACATGATCAACATGACAGCCAGTTAGCATTTTTAGCAATGGCCGCCCACTCATTGCACTTATGTCAGGTTTCATTCAAATGTTCTCTTCAGGTTACGCAAAAATTTACATGTTACAGTGCAAACATTACAATGGTTTATAATAAAAAAATGATGATTTGTTTTTAAGCAAGGTGTCCATTTCTTTTTCTTGGCAGACCTGGAAGTGGGCTTTATGGAATTGACAGTATGCCAGATCTACGGAGGAAGAAGACACTGCCTATAGTGAGAAATGTGGTAAGCGGTATTTCCCATAATTATGGGAACCTAGTACATTCTTACAAAAAGAATGTACTAGGTGTGATGGTGATGGCCTTAAGGTCATGTTTAGGATACATGAATAATGAATGAATTTGCGATACATAATTTGAAACCTCATTTGGTTTATTTCATGTAACAGTCAGAAAGCAGTGGTGTGCAATAGCTGGTGGCGTACTATTAAACAGTATCTGATGAGCTGTCATAGTAGAGTAGTGCATACCAGCCTTCTCTGTACTACATTATTACATAAGCCAAAACAACAAATTCCTGCATGGCTGACTTATGAGTATATTTATAGCTTAGTATTTCAGTGGACAACTGATATGAGGGGGTATCAAAAAGCAATACCTGTTGACCTATAGCATGTTTAAATATGCAGAGATGGAAACAATTAGCATACATACAGTTAGCCTATAAATTCCTTTATTCAAAGTTACCCTTCCACATGCATTTGCACCATTGTTTTACCCAAGCCATATGCTGATATGGCATATTTGAATTTCTTTGGAAGAGGAGAGCTTGAATGGCGCTATTCAGTGCTTGTTAAAAATTCCAGTTTTTCGATTTTTTTACCCATTGCCTAACATTTCTCACGTCAATTACTGCATTGTCATTCACATTATTCTGGTGTGTATGGAGCTCAACAGCCGAACAACCCTCTTTCATCATAAACTCAGATAGTGCTGTTTGTTTAACCTTTCCTCCAACATTCACAATTTAAAAATTAGCAGCACACAATGATTAAGTTCGACCATATGTATGACTGATATCGAGAATTTTAATATAAGTTCACATAAACAGTGGATATGAAACAACAAGCATTATTTTTTGCTATCCCCTCATAGTTAAGGATGAGCTAAGTGAATCAAAAGGCCAGGTTTGCAGATCGCCAGTGTCGTGGATTGTTTCACTGAGGGTAGCACTTTTAATAGTTAGCATCGCCTCTCAGTCTAGCACATTACAAAATTAGGAACAGAAATAAGACTAATGAAATATGTCTTTTAAGGTTGCTGTAATTTGAGTATGGTAATTTGCCTTATTTTTATTTTGGCACATAAAGGTTCTAATTTTTGATACTTTCCTACTTTCCACAGCTAATACAACCCTCCAACTAGTATATTTATAGTGAAAGATCACTAAGCTACATGAGTTAAACGCAAGGAGCAAAAAAAAATGTATTTTTCAAATGAAATTAGCTTTTTAGATGAAAGTATTTTGTTTTACATTGTATGAAATTAGACACATAGAAACTGTAAGTAATGGACAACCACTGTGTTTGGAAGATAATATAAGCCACCAAGAGATGTCAGTGCAGAAGAGCCTGCAGCTACTACAGACCTTTACTGCATTATGTCATCGTCGGTCAGGTTGATGAAAACTTCACCTGCTACTGAAAATAAGTAAAATGGTAATGGGCAAGGTGATTTTTTTTTTTCCACTCAAAATTTCTGATCAAGTGCACAGTTTTCCTTCTCACGTCTGTTCAGCAATTTCTTCAACTGAGAATCAGAATCTCACAGAGAGAGATGGCTTATCTCTGCAGAAGCAAAGGTGATATACAATCTTTCTTGTTATAAAGCATGTTGGAGTAATGGACAGAAAAGGGTTATCATTAAGGATGCACTGATACTGGTTTTTCAGTATCGAGTACCAATATTTTGCTTATGTTACTTGCCCATACCAAGTACTGATACCGGTGCTTCCCCGGCATGGAGCCAGCTTCTCGGGCAACCAGGAAGCAGGGATGCAGGTAATGACATGCTGCCCTGCTTCCTGATTGCCCTGGAAGCCGACTTCATGTTGTTTTGCCAGCTCGATTGTAATTGGCTGGGAAACCGGCCTCACTACCAATCAGCGTGGAGCCAGGTTTCCGGGCAATTGGGAAGCCTGGTGGCGAGTAATGAACCGCCTCCCGGCTTCCTGATTGGCCAGGAAGCTGGCTCCATGCTGATTGACTGGAAGGCTCGCTTCCCAGATAATCAGCAAGGAGTCGGCTGTTCGGCCTGCTCAATGCTGATTGGCTGGGAAGTCGGCTTCCAAACCAATCAGCATGAAGCCGGCTTCCCAGCCAATCAGGAAGCTGGAAGGCGGGTCATTACTCATAGCTCGGCTTCCCGATTGCCCGGGAAGCCGGCTCCATGTTCCCCGATGGCACTGCCAGTCAGAGGAAATCTTACTCTGTCCGAAAGTTCCGGTATCAGAGCATTTGAGCGAGCACAAGTACTTGTCAAAATACTCGGTATCAGCACCTATACTCGTATCTGCACTGATACTAGTATCGGTGCATCCCTAGTTACCATGCCATGTTTCCCATGCCCCCTTTCTTTTACTTACAAGAAAAAAGGAGTGTGCTTGACAATTGCATTGCTCCACAGAGAGCAGTTATCTCAATGTGAAATGTATCCTTTTACGTTGGCATATAAATAACTACAAAATAATTTAAGTCTATGGGACTGAGTCCATTCAAAATGAGGGTGTTTGGTGAACAACAAAATTTATACATCATTTAACTTATAATCTTTTCCTGTTTTGTTTTGCAAATACTATGGTTGATCTACTAAAGCAGTAGAGAATGTTCACTATGCAAAGTTCATTTACATAGTGAATATGGTGAACTTTGAATACCCATCATATGCAAATAAACTTAAACAAACAGCAGTATTGGATCATTGGATGACTGAACTGAACAGTTGAACGCTATTCTCTAAAAAATATCAAATGCATTTTTACATAGAACTGAATCTGTATTGACAATAGTGTTCGGTTTTCCTTAACAGCAGCACTCATACAGCAGCTATTGAGTACTCAAACTTGGCCTGAAATTTGGGAGGCTCTAGTATGACTTAGTATACAAATGTCCCAATGCCCAACGAATACCCAGATGGGAATAGACCTTGGTGCTGCAAGAGAAGCGATTGCCACTTTCTATGAAAACTAGTCACATACATGCCATTTTTTTTCAATTCACATTTAATTAGAATATTAATTTATGTGTTTTTACCCAATAACTATATGTTGTTGGCTCAGTTCCAGAATCCCAAACAGCCACACACTGACACCGTCAGTCACATAAAATAAACTTTATTGAACTCCAAACATGCTGCTCAGCCCCTTCTTCAGTCTGGACTGGGCAGCATGTTTGGAATTCAATAAAGTTGATTTTATTTGAGTTATGGTATCAGTGTGTGGCTGTTTGGGATTCTGGGACTGAGTATTCTCGGAGCATGGACAAGCTCTTTCAAAGGGCATCTGATATCTCTCTGGATTTGACAGACCTGAATTCTGGCAAGGAGTGGTGTTCCTTCACAGTGTGTTGTCCATACAGTGTTGGCAATACTAAGAGTTGTCCTCCTGGGTACCTAAAATCATGCCTTTTCTGTAGTGTGATAGATCACGCTTTAAAGCCAGCCTAACCCAAACATTGAAAGTTGACATTAGGAAGTTAAAGCAACTCTTTCAGGTGGCCTAGAAGATAGATAAAGGTGTTTGCAGTCACATATTGGCACACTTTGAGCCCACAGGAATCCTCAGTTTCTTGCCACCAGAATTCACAATATAGACCTAATTGCAAGTATGGATGGGACCTTAAGGTGAGCCCTCCAAGAGCAACACAGAGAGCACTTTTAATCTTTCCCCACTCTAAGGATCCCCATACACTTTGCAATCTGACTGTACAATCTTTGTAGAATCAACTTTAGATTTACCAAAGCAATGCTATATAAGAACCTACCTAATCTATCTTATCAATTTGTATCCAATCAGGTAGGCCCTTGCACTACATTGTTATTGGGAAATCTAAAGAAGATATAACGATCAGATTGTAACATGCATGGTGAACTAGTAAACCTTTCAGCTTGACATACACTTTAATACACACAAATACTGTTTTATACCTGGTTTTCATACCCCTGTTTTTTTGAAGTGTTTACTTACATTCAATAAAATGTAAAACTATTGCTTCCTTGTTGACTGTATACAGAGTCTAAAAATATAGTTAACTTTTACATTTTGTAAATTAATATGTAGGCTGCAACAGCACAAGCATTATAATGCAATATTGAGATGTGTACCACATTTCAGACTAGACAGATTGATTAAGTGCTAGTTCTAACACTTACCACTCACATTGTTAATATATTCTGAGCAGGCATAACATTAGGTACATATTAATGTTTAGTGGCGAATTCCAACCAACTGTTAAAATAATCTCCATGAAACTAATGCGATAGTTTTCCTTCAGAAATACTGGAAGTTGTGTCTAAAAGGTCTGTCCAAAACAGCACAGCACGTGGTATTTCATAAATGTGCATATATGTTCTAATTCTCCAGATCAGAAATTAGGCTTTTAATTAACTAAAGGTACAAGTCTTGTACAAATCTTCTACATTTACTGCATGCATGTTGTTTCCTTTTTCGCTGTATTTTGTATGAAAAGTTAAATTGAAAAAGATTATTGCACTTTAAAATGCATCTAATTTCTATCTGACATTCTATTGAGGTCTATATATATGAGGTGGCTATTGAAAAACGGAGAAAGAAATAATTTCTTGAGGAGATAAAGTAAAACTTTTTGAGATGAAACATGAGAATTAGAAGCTTTTATAGTTATTGAAAGCTCCTTATGACACTCTTAGCACTTATAAGAAAACTGTTTTTTAGAGATAGAGGGCAAATGTATGATACAGTTTTCCATAGCATCCTGTCTAAAATTACTTTATATAATGAAGTACTATGTGCTACTAGCGCCCAAAGGAAGTCCCTCCACTTAGAATGTATATGCTCATTGTAACTCCCAATTTACACAAAAATATGAATCAGCCCCACACGCCGATGATTTTTAGTACATTATAAAGGAAGTAGTAAGGATGTGCCAAATAAAGAAAAGTGTAGCCTAGTGTAGATGATATATACTTCTCCAAAAAATATATACAGAGGCCCTCAATTTTTGGGAGAGGCATGAACCCAGGACAGCAAGATATTCATTCGCAGTTGCAAAAAGAATCAGGGACAGAGGGCAACCCTGTTTCATATCTCTATAAAGGGATAAGGACTTTGAGATGGCATTAATAACATTGAACCTGACCATAGGTTTCATATAGAGGATTTTCACTTAGTTTATCAGTTTGGGACCAAATCCATATAGGCGCAATACCTCCAGGAGATAGGGCCACTCAGCACTGTGGAACACCTTGAGAAGATCACTCGCCCTCTGAGTTATCATGGAAGCACTGTAGATCAAAATAACCATCTGCTTATATTTATGCCCATCTGGTCACTGTTTAAAAGAGTACCAACTTATTTATCCAATTGGCCAGAATTGTTGCATCTGTTTTAATAAGGCTTGGGTAGAAGGACTATGAGGGCCTTGTGCATGGAGGCAGGGAATTTGTGGCTTTAAGTGCATCATTAACAGTATCAACAAGATGGTCTCTAAGCTGCAACTTAGGTTCGGGTGTTTTTCAGGATGGAAACTGGAAAATAGTAAATTCAACATCCTTTTTATTAAGGGGATTGTCCAGTTTCTCTTTAAAATGTTGGAAAAGAGTTGGAAGGGGAGCAACATGCAGGTAGGAGCATAGCTGCACAGGGTTTATTGAACTGTAGATGAACTGTTGGGAATAGAACGTTTTGAAGGCATCCAGAGTTTTATCTGTCTGGATTTGTTTATGAACTAAATGGTCTATGATTTTGGGGACTGCTGTTATATTAAGGTTTGGTTAATTTGACTAAATGCTATCCTACTTTTTTGTCAAACTCAAAACATATTTTTTTAGTCTTGTTAAGTAAAAACAGTTTGTATTCCCTTTTTTCGCAAGCCAACTTCTAGTGTTATCCTGAAGAAGATCAGGTATATAGGCCTAGGTCTTTGCTTTATCTATGGTGACTATTAAGGTGTATTCCTAAGCCTGCTTCCCATTTCTTTTCCTGGGAGGGTATTTGCAAGCCATCTGCCCAATAATTTGTAATGGCTTGGGAGCAATAGGCGCTCACATTAGGATAATTTAGGCATAGGGGCTGTAGTTTCTAGAGAAAGTGGGTACCTAACCTATGATGTTATCATTCTACAGAAAGTTCCTTAACATTAGAAGGGGTCCATTAGCTATGTCCGAGGCTTACAGTGTAATTTTATCCAAGAAAACAATATTTATCGAGGTGGAGCATAAACATTTAGAAGTTTTCCATTATAGCAGAAGTAAAGATGGCTGAAAACAAACAAACAAAAAGCCTCCTGGAGCTTTTAGCCATAATGTGTTAATATGTATAGTGTATTAGCACATTATGGCAGACTAACCTGCCAAAGTGATCCCTCCAGCACTGTGCTCCTCCACAGCAGAAGTCATCCCAGTCTTCTAATTGTCAAGACCCCGGTAATCTAATTCCAGGCCATGCACATGGTAGTTACTTTTGGACATGCCAAGCCTTTGCTCTGAGCTGCACGTGTATGGCTCAGTGTACAGGGAAATTAAAATGCTGACAGGCAGCAAGAAGCTTTTATGGCAGAAGAGACTTACACAGTTTTTACATTACTTCCACTGTAAGTGCTATTTTGAGTATTATAAAGCAGCCCTGTGGGTCCAGTTTAAGATCAAGCAACTTCAGAAATATCAATTTAGCAATTAATAGAGAGACTCCTCATGAGTATATATGTACCTCTTTCATAATTATATTTTCTGACAGTATAGTTTGGTCAAAACCTTTACTGATTTTTTTAAAAAAATGATTTTTTTAAAGTAAATAATTTATTTTAGTACCTCTCTGTAATAATTGTAATGCAATACATTCTTTTTATTCTTCACAAATAGCAATATAAATCACTGACAACTCTGGAAATTGCTAATTGTCTCTTATTGTTACTTTTATCTTTTTACTAATTCTTTTTTTTTTTTCACATTTCCCTCAATATGCCTCCTGCGAGTACAGGCATTGGTGAGTAGATCTTTGTCCATTTTTCTGTAACTAATATATTGTCACTAAGTTCTGAGAGGGAACAGCATTAAAAGATTACTTAAGCATTCTGTTCCAGACCGCCTTTAGTTGTAATGAGAACTGTCATGTAAAACCAAAAAATGCAAAACACTAATTAAACATTTCAGGTTCCAAAATGTCAACAGATAAGTTATAACACATTTTGCATACACATGTAAAACAATAGCATAGCAAACCTCTCCAAATGTAGTCTATTCCACTATGGCTACTATGGCTACCAAGCACATTATACTTTTGCATATGCTTAAATGTCCAATCAATTAAAAAAAAAATTATACTTGTAAGACTGGATAGGGAGTGGTTGCAATTTTGTCTTTGCTTACCATTACGTATGGGCTACAGTAAAAGTGTAAAACTTAGCCTGTGCCCTGAATACGCATATAAAGTATTTACATATTCTGAATAAGCATTAAAAGCACTTTAAAACAAGCCTTCATTGCCCTGTAGCTATAGGCTTTGTGCAGAAAATAATTTTCAAAGTTCACCACAGAGACCCTGAAATCTTAACTTTTTTCTATAAGAGCATATCTTGGCAGCCTGCCAGCCATCTAATATAAACCAAGTGTTTCTAAGGTGTTAGTAAATAACTGAAACCCGACTTCAAAGTCCCAGATGTAGGCCCCTGTCAGTTCTGATCAGCAGGGGATCTATGCATGCATTCCTTGCTGATCAGAGAAGTTCAGAACGGATGTTAGCGTTGTGACATCTGTGTCTGTCCAGCTTTTTTCTGCATTTAGTGATGGAGGAAAAACTAAACTTATCGTACACATGGGGAGTTGGATGTAAACAGAAATGTGTCCATTTACATCAGATTACCCCTGATCTATCACAATCAGGTCAGCCAAAAACAAAATTCTGCTTTTATTTGGTTTTCCAAGCCTGGCCGGAGTCAGGGGTAATCAAATGTAAATGGATGAACATTCATTTAGATACAGCTGCTCATAGACTAACTCTGGGCTTCCTATTAGATGCAACTGGAAGCCACACTGGTTTTTCAAGCCGGAACTGTTTTAATTAATTTTATCCATAGTTTATACAAAAATAAAAATATGTTTTAGCAAACAAATATAGTATGCTTCCAAGTAGGTACCTAAAAAGTCCGCTATTTGTATTATTTTTTCTTTTGGTTGGGAATCCTTTGGGATGTAGTACCCCATTACAACCCCTTTGATATTGCAAACATGATCATTTGCATTATATGTCAGACAAGAGATTATTCCATAAAATTCTATGCTCACACACCAGCTCGCACACCATTGCCAACTAAGAAATGATGTAGCTTGGGAAATTTTGATTAAGAGATAATAGGACCAAAACACCAGAAATCATCAAATTTAAAGCCAACCCCACTCAATTATGGGTATATTGAAGCCGTTGGTTGAGTAAACAACTGGCTTTGTTACATCCGTCAAGGTTTACCTTAAAGCCCAACTCAAGCCTGAAGGATTCTATTAGTATCATCAAGGTACTTGTCTTTCTAATGAAAAAAGTCAACTATTTCTTCTTACTGTGTGTTTTTGCGGTAGTTAATCCCTCAGGTCTTTTCTTTTGTATCCTCTCTTCCTGTTTTTCAACTGGAAGCCACTGTTTTTTTTCCTATGGAGAAATGGTTGCTGGTCCCAGAGAAGGAGTATGACTTGCTGTCATCTGTAGACGGTTGCAATTTCTACAGCACCTAGTTGCAACCTGCCCACAGCCCCCAAACAAAGAGTGGCTCTGGATACCTCCCACAGTGAATTCCCATGGCATCATGAGAATGATAGTTTGCATTATCCTCTTGTGGCACACAACATATGTGACATGCACCGCCTGTCTAGATCCCCCCTGCTGCTCCAGGGATTGAAGGAGCTGATAACACAGGAAATAAAAAATTAATTACACAAAAAGTAAGGTATTTTAATTTACAAGTGTTTTTCTTGTGGATGGGGAAAGGGAGCTCAGGGTGAAATGTGACTAGGATTGTGAAGTTCAGCTTTAAAGTTTATTTCTACTTTTGCAGTCATATTTTGAGAAAATCCCTCTAAATTTTTGTTGTGTTTCTATTCACACACGATACAGAAAAATATATTTTTGTATATGTTTTTTGCAATATTTTGGCTGTTTACATTCAAGCGATCGGGTGTCTCCAGAGACGCCCAATCGCGTGTACTAGGTGAAGTTTTACCACTGTCACTGCCGTTGCCGGTCCCGAGATCCGCTGTGCCCAGTGCGGCCAGGACCGGCACGGCTGCTCTGTTGCAGGAGATCAAAGGGAGATTGGTACACAATCTCCCTCTGACCTCCTCTCCGGTCCCTGAATGTAGGAAGTGATGTATGTTACATCACTTCCGCATTCAGCTGTCATTCCCAGCTACCGAAGTCTTTTTAGCCCCCCATGTGATAGCAATAAAGTTAAGTGTAACAAAAAAAGTAAAAAATATTAAAAGTATAAAAAATAAAAAAACAGTATTTTTTATTTGAAGTCTCCCGCCCCCCACATACACATGCAAACATGCCTACATGCGAAAACAACTATTGCGCCTATTGTGCTGCACATGTTACATATCATAGTGAATGTCGGAGTGCGAGCAATAATTTTACGGCCATTGATCACTGATAACACTAAACTGATGAACAGTAAAAGCGTTTAAAACGTCGCCTATGGCCAATTTTTGGTGTGGTTGTTTATTTGCGATTTTGCAAGCGCACGCAATTTTAAGGCTTGACATGTTTGGTGTCTATTTACCCGACGTAGAAAAGAAATAGACACCGGCACTCCTATAATAAATCGATTACGTAAATAGACGTAATCGATTTATTATTGGAGTGCCGGTGTCTATTTCTTTTCTGCATTACTTTGACGGTGGCCATCCGTCGACTACTGAGCACCCAGGATACTTTGTTGGACGTGCGGTCAGGAGTGCAATGGGTACATGGACTGTAATGTATTTACCTGACGTGACCCCGTCTTTTATGTTTTATACAAAAACTGGGGTGATAATAAATGTTTCATTACATTGCATAGGTAAACAGATTTTTTTCAAAATTTAAGGTACTTTTTTTGTTTTGTAGTAAAAAATAAAACCACCCAGTGGTGATTAAATACCACCAAAAGAAAGCTCTATCTGTCCCCAAAACATTGTAAAAAATTCATTTCAGTACAGCATTGCTTGACAGAATAAATGTCAGTCAAAGTACAGCGGTGCTGAATACTGAAAAATGGCCTGGCCAGGAAGGGGGTTTAACACCCTGGTCTTTAAATGGTGAATTAACCTCATTAACATTTGTCTGCAGAAGACAGGGTTGTAATCCTTTAACTCCTCACAGCCCCTCCTAGAATTACAAAGAAGAAAAGAGAGTACAATATTTAACCCTTAAGAAGCCAAGAAACCCTAACCAAGGAAAAAGTTAAACTGCAAGAAGCATTTTTTTAATATTTTAGCTTATGCAAATGTGAATGAATCAATATAAAATAGGGGTTTTCCAATTTGGCTGGAAATATACTATAGGTTTTTAAGTCATAACTAATGTTTAAATTCATAAAGGCAAATGTATAAATACATTATTTGTAAAAGGTGATTCAGATTCAGACTGTCTATTAAGCATCCCAGGAGATATTCTGAGCTTTGACTGTAAGTGGGCTCTTGCAAGATATTTTCTGCAAGAAAAAAAAAAAACAGAAAAATTGGTTACATTTTTATTTTTACATTTGTAGGCTGTGGTGAACTCTAATACTATTTTAGTTTTGCCTTATAAAATAAGTAAATACATTTTTGCTTTAGGGAGTCTGAGGTCTGGGGAGTGCAGAGACAAACTCATTTTTACAAGATGTGCATATGCACTATGTGCTAATCTGGAGGTGGGGAAAGGGTTAAAACCTTCATTGTGTATGTACTGCTGTTGATGCAGTCATTGGAAAGATTTACCCACACTTCCTGTCTGCGTTCATTATCACTAGATTACAGAATTACAGGATTTACTGGGAAATCAATTCTTCCAACAGGAACACTATATAAATCCTTCAGAGGTTTTAAGTTCTCCCTACTTTACTAACAAAAATGTTTGAATAGAGGTCTGTGGGTACTTCAAGTGACCATTGTCACTGGGTTAACAAGAGAAAATAGCCATAATGATTATGGAAGTAAGGGAAAATGTTCATAACTAGAATACATGCAGCAATAAAAAAAACTACCAGGGGTTAAAAAAAAGTATTCTCTTCCTCTTTTTAATCGATATTAGGGTTAATGTGAAAGATTATGATAATAGATATCATATGAATTAAGAAACTATCGAAAAAAAGGAAGTATTTGCTGCAGTAATGCTGCCAACAGTTTTATGTGGATATGGTGTAAAAGCAGTTAAACATTCATCTTTCAAAACATCCTCAGCTAGATGGGTATTTGTCTTAAGTTTAAAAAATATACACATCAAACAGCTACAATCATACTGATAAGCTGTCTTTTCTGTCAAGCCCTGCTTTTATTGTTTTGTACCCAAGGGAAACATGCAGTTTTTTTGTTCCCTCTTTTTGAAGTACAAACCAGCAAAGGAACAGTGTGTGAGAGGTATTCATATCAAAGATGAAAATGTGATTTCATCATGCCAGAGATCTCATACAGAGTTAGCTATGCCATATCTGTTGACTTAGAAGAATTAGATAACACTATTGCATACATCTAGCTGACAAATGACAAGGACAATATGTATTTTGTGTTACTCAAGTGTAAGAGTTACCACAGCTCTGCATTAGATAAATCATTTCTGTCTCTGAAAATGCCTAAAACAATAGGAAACAAGCAAATCTATATACGTCAAACATTTTGATTGCTGTACAGGTGTGGGTACCTTTTACATATGAATTTTTAAATTACTCATTCATGCAATGTACCTCTGCAAATATTCAAGACTCAAAGACGACCTTCCTGATGCACTACAATTTAGGTAATATTAGATAGCGTAGCTATGAGGCTACACATTTTTTTGTAATGAAAGCTTTTATTGTATTGCAGAATACATTATATCTCAGCTTCCCTTTAAGTCACTGTTGTTGGGATGAATATTGACTATTTTCCAACATTCTCATGAGAATCAGCCCTTGTCTGCACAGAAGTGCTGTATTAAGTCTGAGAGCTTAAATTGTCTCCGACACATTCTGCTGCACTTTTCAGAATAGTGATGACCTGGGTGGGATCTACTGATACACTAGTAATATAAGGTTCTCTTTAGATATGGTAGACAGGTTAAACCTGGCTTGTAGAGGCTAAGCCTAAAAGAAAAACAACCTAAGGTTCTCTAACTTTTACAGACGATCCTCAATTTGAAGTTCTTAGAAGAATGGATACTAAAGTAATATTTAAGGTAGTATTGCAATACTAGTTATAGATGCTGCTCATTATTCTGATGTTCATACATAAGTTGGAATTATCTTTCTTTTTTTGCCCTTTAATTTGTACAGTAAATATGAGATGCATTTTACTCAGGTCAAATATGTAGATATTATATGTAAATGTACCCACCTGAATAGATGAAGTTATGAATCTATAACTTTTTCATGATGATTAACAGTTGAATACTACAAACAAGCTAGTACACAACGGGTTATGAGCTAAGAAGATGCAGGCAAACAGTCTTCTGTTTCTGATATATTAAAGGCAGATAGTGGAGTATGTGTGTGAGATAAAGAACAGAGGTTGAGAAATTGTACTTAACACACTTGAGAGGGAATCACCTAGGAAAGAAAAGTGTGGTTGCCAATTGGAGCCAATCTGACAATAGTATGTATTTCATAGTTTTCATTAGGAATTGCAGACAGTACCCATAAAGCTAGGTGTTCATGAAATACATAATACAATATAAATACAATACAATGACTCTGCATGGTCTCAGATGGGCTGGTCACACACCTGAACACCTCTTACCTGTCAGGCCCGATCCGTTGTCCACCTCCTCCTTCTCCATGGTCGCTGGCGGGCCCTGCCTTCTCCGTCGCCGGGCCCCGCCTCCTCCGTCACCGGGCCCCGTCTCCATCGCCAGGCACCGCCTCCTCCGCTGCCGAGGCCGGGCCCAGCCTCCTCCTTAACGCGCTGCTGCAAAGATCACTGACAGGTTGTCAGTGATCTAACAGCAACATGCTCCTCCTCAGACCCACCAGTGACAGCCAGCAGCCTGAAATGCCATAGCGACCCAGGCGGCCTGCACGGCATCAGGGGGATGTCTTGGTCAGGCCCCCCTGTGCCCCATAGCGGCTGCCTAGGTCGCTATGGCGATTGTTACGCCACTGGATAATGTCATATTTCAGGAGATAGATAAACATGCACATTCAAAATTATCTTAGAGATTTTCTAATAAGTGCAAGAACTGATGGTCAAAACTATGGTAGCAGTGGTGGAGTTTATTCTAGGACAGACCTAAGTCACATCTGTGTAAACTAATTTTAATGATACTGTCTGTGGACATATCTGAACATTTTGAGGCACTAGGGCCTCACAAAGAATAGCACATATTAAACACGCAAAAAATTTACAGTATCACTACTGCGGCCTCTGCCAGCCCAGTAGCTCAGCCACTGCTACTCTCTGCTATCAGTTTGTGCATGCTTAAAATGATTCAGATCTATAGCAGTTATTTCAATAGCCATAGCAAGTTAGAGAAAAAACAGTAGAAATACATCAATGGTTTTTGTGACTATATTTTTTTTGTCACAGGGAGCCTACTTTATCCAACAAATTTCTTTTGCCTGAGGTGCTTTGCTCTGCAAAAATTTGACCATTTCGTCAGTTCCATTGATCTGCTCAACTTACTTGCTGACTTTGTCAGTATGAGATGTAACCTAATCAATCATCCAGAATAAAAAGACACAACTCAGATTAATTACTGCCCGGGCCTTCCTTCTTACCTTTACTGAGTCCTTTGTGTGGGGTCTGTCTATTCTTCCTCAAACTTCAGCCAGTCTTTAGTGCAGTTATGCAGTACATTAATTATATAACATTTTCAAAGGAGTTGTTCACAACAAAAAAACACCTTCAAGTTATGTACGCCAGGCATAACTATTAACCTTTGCTGTGCAGGTAGCCCTGCTGCAAGATTTAAGTGCTTGTTTTCATCTAGGGACAAAAATAAAAAAGTTATACTCATCTGAACCTCAGATACGGCTGGCTCCTAGACCAGTCCCTTCAGTGTCACTCCCCCTCCGTTCCAGTGGTCTAAGGTCCTGTGAGTCATCACACCCTTTACAGTTTATAGGATGTGAGGATGCCAAAGGACATTCCTTTGTTCTAGCAGAAAAGGAGACGGGTGGCAGGGAATGGTCTAGAAGCCAACTGGCTCCAAGGTTAAGGTGAGTATAACGTTTTTATTTTCATCCCTAGATAAAAACAAGCATTTAACCCTTGCAGTTTGTGGGTAGCCTCACTGCAAGGGTTAAGAATAGTTATGCCTCAAGTTCTTCTTTAAAGCTAAAATCCATGCACAAAAACCTTTCATCAAATATATTGCTCAACAGCCACACAATATATAAATCCACTTTGTATGTAAGATCTAGAGGGAAAACATTGCAATTGATGCACAAGAAAATATTTGCTTAAGAAAATGTGTGCAGTGAGACATGGTGCCAAACATACTGAAAAATAGAGTTTAGGTTTACTTACATTTTGCATACTGCTAGCATTTTACACTGAAAGAATGGTTGCACAAATAATAATGGATTTGAAAAATCAAAGTAGGAAACCATAACAGGCATAAACAGATCAAGACCTCAGAAAGATCTTGCATCACTTCTTTAGAATACTGTGTTCCCTTCTGGATAACTGACTTGCAAAAAGATTTCAAAAAGATAGAGTCCAGATACAGGCAACAGAAATGATGCAAAAGCATACCAGGCAAGATTGGAACAATATAATAAGTACAACCTCAAGGAAAGAAGGGTGAAGGAGAACATAACTTAAACATAGGTTCACTTAGCCTTTTTGTGCCCTATTCAGTATTCAATGTTTCTACAGTATGTTCAACTTACTGCACTTTTTCCATCTTCCTGTTCCTTTTGTAATATTTGGTAAAAAACATAGCATTTTACTGCGATTTTGCCGTGTTCAGATGCTGTTTTTTATAGCTTAAAATGGGCTTTCATGTGCATTCCAGTGCATTGGCATGCATTTTGTATGCATTCCATGCATTCCAGACCAGAGGAAATGAGACAAGCAGTATTTCTTTTTGTGTCTGGACCGGAACGGACTGCGTTGGTGTAAACAGCCCAGAAATCCCACAGGGATACATTGGGATGCTTTTTTGGTCCAGCAACAAACTGTTCTGATCTGGACATGATCCGGACATGGTGTGAACAAGCCATGAAGCTGATACTTTTACAGATACAAAATTATTCTCACTTCATAAATTGGCCCAGTGGAAAACTAGAATATTTCAGTTCAAGGGAGGGTCTCACTTGTCCCAAAACTGTTTCCTTTTCTATGTATAACATGACAATACAGCTGTTTCTTTGAGAATCACTGAATGTCATCTCATTATAAGCAATGCATTACCTGTCAGTTCAGGTCTATAGTCCTGAGGATGAAACATCTGCATCAAATTCCACCTTCCGCTTATTCTCCTAGATTTACACTTTAATATTCTAACACACAAAATAATCAATCAATCCATGGCTATTCTCCTTAAAGGCCCAAGTGGTGATTATTGGCAATCTATGTTCCTAATGGCTGTTTGTGATCATTAAATATATTATAGAGATCGAAACCTTCTCACATGGACAGGCAGATATTACCATATCAAGGGAATAGGTTCCAACTGGACAGTTCCAGGAGGATCAATAGCCATTTTCCAGCTAGTGATAGTGGGGTGGATGATGTCCAAGCCCAAGAGACTTGAGAGAAAGTGTAGTTTTTTTTTAAATACTTTATTTGGGCATATTGCTTAGCTTCAGTTTACAGTAGAAATGTCTAGAAGGCATTTAGACACAAATTATTTGAATTAAAAGTTTAAATTTTACATCTTGTCAACTAAATAAACCTTTCCTAACCCTGCTTCACCTACAAACATTTAAGCCATTTTAGATTTCTTTATGGTAAAGCTAGTTGCCTAGCTGTTATACTGCCCCATTTGGTTTAATACTTAGTCACTGATCTAGAACAAATATGCAAATCAAGGTCACAGAATAGTCTGAAGTCTTTATCTTTATACTGGCTTGTTGTGTTACCAAATCAAAGAATTGAAGCCTCATATCACATAATACCCTGACTTCATTAGGGAGTAATTAATACAAAATAATAAGAAACACAGGATAGTATCAAAACATTGTGCCATAGCATTGATAGTCTGCAAGGAATTTTGCATTAGTTGCAATGGTTTCATCAAGAAAGGGTTAACACTAATTTACATATTATTTTGTATTCCTGGAAATTCTTGTTTTAAATTGATGTAATTATTATGCAACTCATCTCTTGCAATGTGTTCTGTTATGAGCAATCTGCTTCATTACATTGCCATGCTATGTTGAAAGTTGATGACATGTTTATGCTATGCTGAGGGTAACCTGCCATCTTTTTTCCTACTAGACACTAGCTGCAAGGAAAGCTGGAATCTCCCTTGCAATGGTTATCCGGACATCTGTAAACAATGAGGAACTGGTAGGTACTGGTTTATTTTTTATATATCATCTAATATCATATTTTTATATATTATAGGCATGCCAATGGATGCCGCTTCTTGATGTTTGGATGTTTAAAAGTTTTAGTTTTTCTGCACAACAGCTGGTACCCTGAGCACTGGCCCTGATATCCTGTTTTAGGGTGGCTCCTTTCTCACGCAGAGTTCTATGGAGCCACCCTTGCCTGTGATAGTAAACTATGTGTGTCTGAAAACATACAGTATAGCAAGCTAAGCTCCCCTCTCCTCCCTCTTCCCTTCTCCATGCTAGAAGATGAACAGTTTCTGGAGATTATGCAGTCTTTTGTGATCTTCTACTGGACAGGAAGTTGAGGGAATCTGAGCTGAGAGAGAGACTTGGAACCAGCTGCTCAGAAACATGATGATTGTCACCTGGCGGGATGGTCTCTCACCGAGGACCTCCCTGCCACTGCTCGGCTATTTGCCTGTATGTTCTGCTCTCAAACCCCACTGTCACTGTTAGACACCACTTTGTTGTCTAGATCTGATCTCCCTATACCAAGACTACTCGCGAGGGTGTGGATGACTGTCAGGACCCTGTGGGGGCTCTCCAAGGTTACCACCGTTACCCCCCTGTGGGATAACGGCAAGTTGCCGGAAGTGCAAAAACTGCGAGATTCTGTCACCTGGGAGAGGGAGGGGATACATCTTGTCTCCCAGACCTATGATGACGGCGTGCTGTGTTCGTTCCAGCAACTCCAGTCTAAATTCTGCCTCAGGAGGAACCAATTCTACCAAAACCTTCAGCTGAGACATGCCCTCTCTGCACACCCCGGGGTTGGCCCGATTCATATATCTAAGGTGCCACTTCTTGAACGGATTGCAGTATCCACCCATGCCAAGGGAATCATTTCCCTATTGTATTCCCACATACTCTCACATTTCTCATGCAAATACCCACTCCGATGTAGGTCGGCGTGGGAGGAGGACCTGGGGACCCTTACAGAGGAGGAGTGGGACGGCGCCTTAGCCGCGGTTGGGGCCTCTTCCCTGTCCGCCTCCCACAGGCTGTCTCAGCTCTTCATCCTGCATCGCACATATCGCACCCCGGAGTTCCTCTTTAAGATTGGATTCCGGTCAAACTCCAAATGTCCTAAATGTGGTATCGAGTCCGGGTCTCTCATACACTTGTTGTGGCGCTGCCCCAAACTGGTAAGATATTGGACTGAGGTGGTGCAGTGTCTCAACTCTATGTTCATGCTCCAGCTCCCCTGCTCTCCACTAGTCTGCCTCCTGGGTGTATTTGACAACTCTGACTGGGACAAATATACCACGGATGCTGTATCTAGGGCCCTATTTGCAGCAAGAAGGACTATTGCCCTCCTTTGGATGTCACACACAGCACCAAAGGTGGAGACCTGGAAGGTGGAGTTGGACCGTCTTATAGCCTTGGAAAAGATAATATGGGGAACACAGGGGAACTTTGCATAAATTCTACAATATCTGGGACAGGTGGAGGAATAGATGTTGACCACGGGAGATTATTATTATTATCGGAAGGGACACTGGGCTGATGTTGGAAATGGGAGGAGCGGAGGACTCAATATACAGATAGGTGGTGGAGGATGTCGGTACACACTGCTCTGGTGGGATGGATTACAGATTACGGTTCATGGTTGGTTGTATGAATAGATGGCAGGAATTATGCATATCTCCCATGTCTGACGAGAATCGAGCTGAACTTAAATTTGGAGGTGTGTAGATGTATAACTCTCATCCATGTGTAGTAAAGTACAGGGAAATGGTTTTGCGCTTGCTTCCCCTGATTGTGCCATTCTGCCCCCCCCCCTCCCTCTCCGCTTAATCTATATGAGACGCAAGTTGGACCACATGGCTGTGTTAGTTGTGTTAGTTGTTTTATGTTTTATTGTTATGACTTTATGTACTGCAGAAATCTGTGTGCAATGTCAAATTGTGTTGTACTAAAATGTAAAAAAATTTAAAAACTCCAATAAAAAATATCTGATTTAAAAAAGAAACATGATGATTGTATCTGCTTGGTCAAAAATATAAAGGAATACTTTGCTGGGTAATGTATATTTGTTTGATCTGGATTCATTATTGAAAAAAAGTTTGAGATCCTAATACTACTTTAAGATCAGTTTGAGAAGCTTCTGAGATCACTGAGAGTTCAATCCCAGGTGTATTTGAACTGTAGTTGACCTCCTTCTGCCTTACAATTTATCTCCTTAGCTCCAACAATCTGCTTTAGGCTGTATTCGGATCCCGCACAATTTTTCGTGCGGAAGACAGTGCAGGATGAAAACGCTAATATTTTAAAATCCGCACGGATGCAGCTCGCTTGCGTCTATTAAATAGCCGAGAACGTGCGGAATCTGACGGATTATCACACTTGGCGATTCCGGGGGTAGCAATGGTCTGAACGATGCACATTGAAGTGCACTGAATTCCTTGTACAGAGCAGCTCCACGTGTATCCGTACAGCCGAAAACGCGCAGACAGTCTCTCAGTTGTGAATGGAGCCTGAAGCTGCTTCTGTATTCCCTTTGACTTGATTGGAAATAGAAATACAGTAATTCTAATTTGATTAAGAGCCGCTAAACACAGGCCCTATCAGGATCATCTTATTTATGTTAAAATATTTCACTCTACATTCTAAAAAAGCTTACTTAAAACTCAATTTCAGCTCAGGCAAAACATTATAAATTGGATCCCCCAGCAGGACGTAAAAGTCAAAAACATCTTCTACTGCTTGACTCGCCTCTTTTCCAGTGCTTTTCTCTGCACACTCCCCCGCTCACTAATCCAACTCTATTCCACTTCTAAATTGAATGATGCCCAGTGTGCCCAAAGGGGTTGCTTTACTAAAGGAGTAGAGTATGTTCACTTTGCAAAGAAAATGTGCACTTTGCAAGGGAAATGCTCACTTAGCTTAGCGAATGAGAGAAGACTTAACTTTGCAAAGAATACTCAATTATGCTTGAAGAAGATTAATAAACAGTATTTTTGCTTGCACATGATTGGATTATAAGAGTCAGAACAGCTTCACCTAGGGGAAATTCCCTTGCAAAGTGAAAATTCTCTCTGATAAGTGAACAGCCTATTTGCCTTGAGGAAATCAACTCCACTGTGTCTAGAATTCCCTCCCCTTTCCTGGATTCACAGTTAAGAGGAACTGTTACATCAGTGGACTAAACCAAAGACCCCTTGAAAAAAAATATCTATACTGTTTTTCAAGCTCTGGGGATTGTCCAAATGGTGAGGCCAGAGCTAGTCTTTAAAGGCTGACGTCCCGTACCGCCCCCCCAAAAAAAAATGATATTTTAATATTGGGTTTATATAGTAATTTGAATTATCCCCCTGGGTTTTAATATCTCTCAAACACTAGCAGGATTTCCTGTTATTTTTGTTTTTACTACTCCAACAAGGCTACAAATAAGTTGTCACTCACTTGTTGCTATATTTATTCATTTACTCTGTTTAATGGAGAATCCATTGGGGAATTATGACACCACCATTTGACTATGTACTAACTGCAGCAGTTGGTTTAATCTGGGAGCATCTCACCACTGAAATACCTAACAGAACAAATGCCCCTCATGGGATTCAGCTTGTTAGCAGCCATTATACAATGACTCCAGTGTAGAAAACAAGAGGAAACATAAAAAATAGTGAGTGAGTCTTTCCCACAAAGACCTGCCATGTTAAAGCAGAAATATTTTTCCTTTAAAAATGACTATGATAGATACATTCTGACATTTGTAACTAAAATAAGGGTAGTTAGTGAATATTTTCTGTGAGTTATTACCTTCTTACACTTCAAAATATTATTTTGTTTTATCCTGATATACAATGGGTGGATAAATGGGAAGATCCTTGTTGTTAGATTTTATGTTTACTTTCGGTAAATAATTGTCATATATTATAGGTTTGCCAAAATTGTGTGTCTTAGTATATTGATTACAACAGATACCATTTTCAGTTGTAACATGCAATTTATACAAGTGTTTTGCTTCTCTGTATGCATCTGCCAACAACTGATTGTATAGTACTGTAACCACTGCAGTATAATTGTCTCTCAAGACACAGAGGCTGCTTAATGCTAATAACAGTCTGTTTCATGTTTTACAATAGAAATCCCATGTTTTCAAAAAGACATTGCAAGCCCTTATTTACCCAATATCATCCACTACACCTCACAACTTTGAAATATGGACAGCGACTACACCAACATACTGCTATGAATGTGAAGGCCTGCTGTGGGGCATTGCAAGACAAGGCATGAGATGTACAGAATGTGGGGTCAAGTGTCATGAAAAATGCCAAGACCTTCTCAACGCTGACTGCTTGCAAAGTAAGTGCCTGTTTAAACTCGTCTTTTATAATTATAATAATACTGCAGTATTGCACTGGCTAGATAGTTCTGGGCTGTTCCATGTGCTAATATTTCCTGTTATGTTAACTCTTCCACAAATTTTACATTAGCTGAAATTTACTGTAGATAAAGTAGAACTTCTATTCTGGTAAATATGATATTTGCCACAAAGACTTGCTTGCTAATAGGCTGCACTGGACATCTTCGGTCAACTATCTTGCCAAGCAATGGTAGGACAATAGCACTCAATGCCTTGTTTCTCTTTTGCTACCAAGTCACCGAAAAAACACGCTATGAAAATTAACTTAAAATATTGCATCCAATAGGAATATTTTATGTATTATTTGGGATGTCTTAATGACATTAATAACTTTGATTGGTCTTGGTGTATATGGATCCCTTTCATATGCAAACATCTACAGTAAAAAATGTTTTATTTGTTTTCTCCTCTTATTGCCAGTAAACTTGATATAATGGATACTGCCTTTGCGTATGGATCTACCACTACTTGGTTCCAGGCTGATGCAATCGTAGCATTATTCTTTTTATGAAAATGCTAATAAAAAACCCAGAATGAAGACATAACTTCTAAGCATCAAACTAGCATTTTCAGAATGGGTTCGGCCCCTGTATACCTTTTAATTACAGGTTTCCTTTAATGAGGATAAGGATACTAGAAAGAGTGTAAGGAATATAAGGGTAACTTTATTGCAGATCACTGAGCTTAATCAGTACGTAGTGCAAGCAATCTTTATATGTTACCCTAAGTGTAGTAACTCAACCAATCAGAATTAATTTTGCTGAAAGTGGAGCAGTAGAATAGACATGTTGATTGCTTGCTAGATGTTCTGGAATCTGTGTATAGTTAGGGGACAAAGTGATGGGGATTGATTTACTAAAGAAGCAGAATAATCTAATCACTTGGCCTACTGAAGCTTTTTGCACTTTAATAACACAATCATGCAGAAGGGAAAATGCTTTTTTGTAATTCCCCTGAACATGACTGGATATTGAAAATGAACCAAGGTTTAATGACCTAAGTAAACTTTCTAAAATATAGCATTTATTGTACCACTGACCTGAACTTCATACATGCAGGCATAGTATCCATTGTAAAGTGATATACTGTATAGTATCTGGAAGACAAGCAGTCTGAAAAAAATATATAACAGTGCATCTAGAGCATTATTAGAATTATTGCTCACGTTAGTACACATTGTTCCAGAATAATTTGTGACTGCTATAAAGTTGGCTATATAACCTAAATATGTTTGCTTGCCTTTGAGTGAAGATTGAGTTGCAAGAGGCTAATAAGTTTGTTACATGTGCTGTAATGGGGGGTATAACACTCATTACTTCCTCATTAATTGCACAAACATATGTCATGTGCCATAATCTATTCAGTGAGTGATAGTAATTGCTTGAAAGTAGTGTTCTACGTGCCTGATTTTCCATTAAGCAGGCCAGAGATGAATTTATTTTGTATGAGTCTGTGTTATGTATTTACAAATGTACTTTAGAGCATCAACAAAGTAATGAGATATGCTGTTATATTGAGTTATTATCTTCCTCTATGGTCTGACTTATATCTCACTATACTTAATAGTACTAAACAAAGTTGTTAAATCTTAAGTGAAGCCACATGCACATCATTTGGGATAATTTTCACAGTTTTTGTGCACTATTGCTTGTATATGAAGCTTCCATAATATATTAAAAATTTAATGTTTTTGTGGCTGAATTTGTTTTCATGGGACACATTAAATGGTTTTAAATTCAGCTTATGAGCATGTAGTTTGTGTGCCATATGTGTCAGAGTTACCATTATTTAATATATACTGTATGCTGTTAAATAGATTAAAGGAGAACTATGAGGTGAGTGCTTTTCACTCACCTCATAGTTCTAGCCGACCTGTGACAATGAGGCTGTCACAGGTCGGCTCAGTAGATCGGGAGGTGAGCGAACACATACCGGCGTTCGCTCACCTCTCGATCCTGTCACGGCTCTCTGCCGTGGCAGGGGAGGGGCTGGATTCCCCCCTCCCCGCTCCTATCCGCCAGCGCTGACTGGCGGAACGGACGGGGGAGGGGGCGGGTACAGCTGGCTCTGCCTTTAGATAGGCAGAGCCAGCTGTCAGTCACGCAGCTGGGCGGATCCCGGCACAATTGCCGGGATCTGCTTCAGCTGCGGCGTCTGCTCGCGGTATACTGCAGCGTCTCAGTATACCGCGAGCTACAGCTTGCGGTATACTGAGCCTAGGGTGATGGGAGGACGCTAGTTTGTGTCCTCCCGTTACCCTAAGGAGAACTATGGGGAAAAGACTTAACCCTATAGTTCTCCTTTAAGCTATAATGAGATTATTGCACGCCAGGGACCTTTTACTTATTGCTATCTGTAGCCATGGAATATAATGTACTCTCCCCAGGTGCAAGTCACAAGGGGTATATTTATTAAGGATTCGATAGGTATTTAGGTCAAACTTCATCCAAAATCGGGCAACATTTACACTATGTATAAATCCAAATTACCGTGTTTCGCCGAAAATAAGACACTGTCTTATTTTTTTTTTGCGTGAGCTGTGGCCGGCGGGCATGTAGGCAGGAAACACGGTAGTAGACAGTCACCCATTTGAAATTACATTCCTTGACATTCAGCCATATTCTTCAATAGAAGTCTTTACTGTAATATTCACCTTATTAATAAAGGTTAGATTTTACCTTTACTGCACATTTAACTGCATGTGTGCAACCTTGCTGCTATGCTAATACTAACCTGCATGCCCTTAACATTGGGGGGTTCTGAGAGACTCTTCTTACATCAGGAAGGTGTGTGAAAGGTTATACCTTCTGTCAGGTCATTATTACTGTCTGTGTCTTTCTCTCCCAATGACAATATCCCTACTCATTACATAGTAACATAGTAGGTAAGGTTGAATAAAGACAAGGTCCATCTAGGTCAACCTGTGTTTATGTTATTGTGTCTCTGCATTTATCTGACTCTAACACTTCCCATATTTTTGTATATGAAGTGAAATAAGAAACTCATCCAGAAGTTTCTTGAATTTATCAATGCAGCAGATACCGCCGCCTGTGGAAGGGAATTCCACAATTTCACTACTCTCTTCCTACCAATTCTAAGATTAAACCCCCTTTCTTCTAACCTCTTGTTGTGCCCCTGTGTTCTCAATACAGTTGTCAGATTAAACAGTTTTTCTGAATATTGTGGTCCCCATTGATGATCTTGAAGACTGCAATAAGGTCCCTTCTTAATCTCCTCTTTTCTAAGGTGAATAAGTTGAAATTTGAAAGGTGGCCTTCATAACTTAGGCCTTCTATCCCATCAATACATTTTGTAGCCCTTTGCTGAACTCTCTCCAGCTCAAGGACATCTTTCTTAGCGAACCAAAACTGCACCGCATACTCAAGATGAGGCCAAACCAGTGATTTATAAAGTGAAAGTATTACTCTTTTATCCCTTACTACAATCCTTCTTTCTTTTAATGCAACACAGTATCCTGTTTGCTTTGCTGGATGCAGCCTGGCATTGAAGCATTACAACACAGTTCTCAACTGCTGCCCTTATTACCATCCATTAATTTTGGGGGATATGGTCAGCTCACTCAGTCTGTGTATATACATAACTTAAGTATTATACACAGAAAAATAAGCACCAAGATCAGGACTTGCAATTATTTTAGGCCAAAATCCGATATGGATATTTAGCCTTTCTACCAAATAGTAAATCGGAAAATAAATGGAGACATGAGTAAGCAAATTTTCTTTTACTTATTCAGCTCTTTTCATGTCTGATAAAGCTCTCTTTACTTGTTTGATACAAATGTCCTTAAACCAGGGGTAGCCAAACTCCGGCCCTCCAGCTGTGGTGGAACTACAAATCGCATGAGGCATTGCAAGATTCTCACAGCCACAGACATGACTCCCGGAGAGAGATGCATCATGGGATTTGTAGTTTCACCACAGCTGGAGGGCCGGAGTTTGGCTACCCCTGCCTTAAACCCTTGGTGCTCTCAAATGGAAATATCAAAAGTTCCTATTTATGAAAGCTTTTCCTACCCTCCTACGCCTTCCAGTTGGCCTATTAAATTACAGTATAGGGGATATCAATAATGAAAAATAGGAGAGTGCAGGAAAGGGCAGACTGGCTCTTGACTCTGAAGTGGCAGAATTTGCAAATGGGAGTACCTAAAATACCTTTAGTTTCTGATAAACTTGTTGTAGACCATAGCAGGCAAGCGTGGGTGGGGGAAACTTCAACAGATATACATTTTAGGCACCTGGAGGTGACCTGTTTGTATTTTAAGTAGCAACCCTAACCATTATGCAATGGCCAAATCTTAAGCTGTTCTCAGAGGGTGTTTGATCTAACCCCCTCCCCCCATCCCCCACCTAGAACTAAAACAAAAAGTCACACAACATTTTAGAAGAGAGATACACTATGTGTAGAACAAAATCTTTACAAAATATATAAAACCATACAGGGTTGTCCTCCTTTATCTTTGTTTCAAATGCAAAGCTATTCTGCTTGCCAAAAACAAACTTTCTCCAGCAGAGAGCCTGATATAGATGCTAGTAATATAATGCAGCCGCTGCTATCTGGTTCTACCTGTGACCCCTTTTTAAGAGTGCCTTGTAAATCACCATGTATTCAGTGTCAAAACAGTGCTGGAATAAAACACTGCTCTTACAAAGGACATAACTGCTGCTGGTATATTTGCAAGGAGCTTCACAAACTGAAGCCAAATTAGTCTTCTACAAATTGTGGCCATTCAAATGTAAAATACAGGTTTCATAGCACAGGTTAAAATAGTATCAAATGGTTTACGCTTACTGGCAACCAATGACAAACACAAATACAAGTGCTGGTAAAATGATAAATGAAAATTTCAGTTACAAGGTAACGAGTAGTTAAGCAAGAAGGATTAGGGGCAGATTAAATATAATAATAAAATGAAGAGAAA